ACACATCTGCAACACATGGTGGATATGAGTGCCTGATCCGCTTGGGCTCACTGCTGCTTGGGCTCACTTACCTTGGGCCATCTGTCTGTTATGGCCTCTGGGAGCCCTGTCAGTACCCCTCGAGCATTGGACTCCACAGGGACCACTCCCAGGGCTCAGGCCAAGCCTCCAGCCCAGACTGTTGGCCTGATGCAAGGGTTTAGGGCAGGACAAATAATTGAGGTTCCTTTTCTATTCTGTCTTTATGGTTCTTACTCTTCCTTTTTCTCTGCTTATCTCTGACTCTGTAAACTTTTTCCTACCTCTCTTATTTTTTCTTATCCACTGTATTCCTTTCTGTTGTTGAGTCTTTCTCCTTCTTTGCCCCAGTCTCTTGGACTCTCTCTTTTGTCTTTTCCTTTCTGTTGCTCTGTCTCTTGTCTTTTCTTCTTTCTCTTCCCCATACTTCAGTCTCTCTTTTTGTTTTTTGACATCTATGGGTGTATTTCTCAGTCTCAACCTCTCCCTGTCTTTGTCTGTCTCATTTTCTTTCCCATCCCAGAATCCACAGGGACCTTTGGAGAGGATAAGCTGTTATATCCAGAGCTCTCTCTCCAGAGGAGATAGAAATGGTGACTCAGGGCTAAATTTGAACTTTTCAGGCTTGGGTGGGGGCAGTCCAGCAGACAGTTAAGGAAAAAGGAGGGAAAGCTAGTTTATTCAGTCAGGAGACAGAGCCTGGGGTGGGAACTTGGCAAAGACTGTGAGTTCCAATGCTGTCCCAGCCCTACACTCTCTGCCTGAGGCCTTGAGGCTATTTTTGGAAGCTTCCAAAATATCCCAGAAGGCTACCCGCTCCATTCAGTCTGGGATGCCAAAAGATTCATTGAAGATAGCACAGCTGTAGCCTGTCCTGTATTCTTCCTCAGCTTCCACCAGCTACTGACAAAACAATAGTAACGCTGCCCCCAGATTGGAACATCATGAAAGAGAGGAGAGTAGTGGCAGCAGATGAGGAGCCATCCAGAGAGTGGAAAGGGATCAATAACACGTGCCTCAATTCCCAAGACCCTGAAGTATCCAAACTAGAAGGGATCCTAGAGGTCAGCTAATATTGCCCCTTCGATAGTTATATGTGAAGACCAGGTAGGGTGCTATATAATATCTGTGAAGAGGGAAGGGAAAGCGAAGCGCAGTGGCTCACACCTGTAATCCCAGCACTTTGGGGGGCCGAGGTGGGCAGATCACCTGAGGTCAGGAGTTTGAGACCAGACTGACCAACATGGAGA